ATCTGAAAGATGTACTGAATGAGTATCAGAATGACATCCGTATTTGGAGCGCATATGAACTGTATCTGAAAGATGTACTGAATGAGTATCAGAATGACATCCCTATTTGGAGCGTATCTGAACTGTATCTGAAAGATGTACTGAATGAGTATCAGAATGACATCCATATTTGGAGTGTATCTGAACCGTATCCGAAAGATGTACTGAATGAGTGTCAGAATAACATTCGTATTTGGAGCGTATCTGAACTGTATTTGAAAGATGATATGGAATGAGTATCAGAATGACATCCGTATCTGGAGCGTATCTGAACCGTATCTGGAAGATGATAAACTGTTGACAATCTCTATCTGTTCGGGAACTAACCTGAAAAGACAAAGGTAGTTTTATGCAATGGCATGATGTAGGTATTGTATTGCGTAATGATGCTCTCAAAATAAATGAGATTGTGCTATATGCGTTTTGTATGCAAATGTTATGTCGTTTGTAAATGATGTATGAATGTGAAATGTTATTGAGGTGCATTTGTAAACTCGAGCATCTTTGTCTGGGGAAAATAAATCCCTGTCTGTTGCTGGGGATGGAGTGTATGTGTAAATTCGATCTTCTAGGAATTATTTCCACTGGGGATCTCTGCTTTCTTGTTCGAGGAAACTCCGTTGGAGAACATTTATTTTACTGTTTTCTTGAGGAAACTCTATTGGATCGTGTTAATTCTTGCTTGGGTAGAAGAGTTTAAGAACATTGGATGTTCATTGTTCTACTGGGGAGTTTATATCCTGACTGGGAATAGAAGAGATGGATAACCTTCTGGCTCGCCCGGGGAGGATAAAGTTGACTGACATCTAGTCCAGTTTCCAGGTTCCATAGCAACTCTCTGGGGATAGTGACGACTTCACTAGAGAGAGGGATTTGCCAGTGATTTGTGGTAGTAGCACACTCAAGCTGGGGAGTGTCGGAATAAATCCATGCCTTGATTGTATCTGAAGATGTATTGAATGCGTATCAGAATAATATCCATATCTAGATTGTATCTAAACCATATCTGAAAGATGTACTGAATGAGTATCAGAATGACATCCGTATATGGATCGTATATGAACTGTATCTGGAAGAGAAATCTGGAATGAGTTCCAGAATGAATTTGTGTCTTGATTGTATATGTACTGTATCTATAAGAGGAATCTAGAATGAGTGCCAGAATTAATTTGTATCTTTGTATTTGTACTGTATCTAGAAGAGAAATCTGGAATGAGTGCCAAAATTAATATGTGTCTTGATTGTATCTGCACTCTATCTAGAAGATGATAAACTGTTTGAGGAAATAAACCCTATTTATGGAGAAGTACTCTTGTTGAGGAAACACCCTTGTTAAGGAAATGAACTCCGCTGGAGAGCATAATTTTGAAGGGGGTTTTACAACCTTGGAGGAACAAGCTCAGCTGGGGAAGAGAAACTCCATGAATTGTACCGATTGAAATTCCGTAGGTTGGTGATATTTCCAGAAAGAAGATCATACTCCTTTATTCTCCAGAGCGGTCTGCCGGGGAAATTGCGGGGAATGTATGACTTTGTGAATATTACTTTATGGAGATAATCTCATGGAATTGGCTCTGTGGGGGTCCGTGGAGACTTGAAAATGCCTAAACTTCTAGAGCCCTTGGTGAATACTGATCAGGGTGATAAGTATTATACTGATAGACAAGTGACGAGATGACGGAACATAGTCGTACACTTTAATCCCTAACTTTTACCTGGACTGTCCTTTCATATTTTCAGTCCACCAGGATACCCTTTTTTGCCCAAGCCGCCTTTTCAGGTTTTCGACTTTCCGGGTGTACAGTTTTATTTATATATCCCTAATTTTTGCCCGAACTCTTTTGGTTCGTCTAGATGCCCTTATTTTTGTCTAGGACAGTCAACCTAGCGGGTCTTTTTTCATGAGTAGTATTTTTCGACTATGTCCGCGTTCACAGGGTGCAGAGAATTGTCATTATCCATAATAGTAAGTGTTGTAGCACTGCCAGAAAAATGTTTGCTCGATCGTACATGATCCTTTGCTAGAATTCTTGTTCAATGCCTCAAGTGATTCAGATGGAGATCTGCCCTTGACTATTCAGCTCTTTTGAGAGACTCCTCGAATATTAACTCGACTACCCCCAGATCAGTTAGATACCATGTCATGCCCCTTGATTATGAAAGGCTTGTTACTGGAAATGTCTTTCCAGCTGAGGTGATTCTGTCCATTGAGAGGATTTTCGTTTATTGAATTTACGTCGTGCGAATTTCTCTGTTGTCGAATGATTAGTCATATGCAAACAATGGTATTTAAAAAATGCAAAGCTTATGTCTGTCTTGAAGTTTTACAAATGCATTTTTAGTAAACAAACATAATTTTGTAAGAATATGAATTCAACTCAGGATTTATAGTAAACCTTACAGGAGTCAGGATACCTTTTGTAACAATATGCTTTCGAACTAACCCACACTCCAGCTAGGACTTTTAAGGGTTGTAGCATGACCTAGTTCACGGTTTAAGAAACAAAAGATGAAGGCTCAAACTTTATTTGTATCCAACCCGTTCTTCGTGATGTTCTTTAGTCCTATACTCTGTTAATTGTGCGTTTAGATTCCAATTGAGTCTGGAATCTTTTCCCTGATATTCCAGTTATGGTTCGGATACTGAAAGTTTATTTGAGAAGACAATCATCATTTTTTTTGTAATATTTTTTGTTAAGGATTCGTAGAGACCTCTTTTTATTATCCCTATCTTTTTCCTGGACTGTTTCTTTTGTGATTACAGTCAGTGGGATGTCCCAGTTTTTTTCTTAAGTCTCCTTCATAGATTTTGACTTAGTGGGCTTTTCTTTTGAGATATAACGACTGCCTGTTTTAATGATTATGTGGAACCATAACCATCTTTTGTTTTGGAAGGATACCTCCAACACTACTCGTCATGTACGAAGGGAAAGCTTGCGATTGAATGCACCATTGAATTAACTGAGAAACTGTCCTGCCCCATGTTATGATTAAAGGTTTTAATTTGTGTGAAAAAGAAAACTCCTACTTCTTAGACTCAAAGGGGTTGACTAGGAATTATTTTCCTTATAACCCTATTTAATTTTTTTAAATAAAAAACAATTGCATTTCCTAAATAATATTTCTCTTTATTCTTTTTTTTTCTAAATATGTAATTGGTGTCTACTAATATACAATTTTTTTAATTTTGTTTTATAATTTTGTGTTTGATTTTGGTCCTTACAAATATATGTCATTTTTCTTTTGTTCATATTAAATTTGTTTATTTTTGAGTTACTTAATGTAATTTAGTATTTGAATTTTAGTAATGGCTTTTATTAATTGAGATAAAAAAAATTTAATCATGAGTGAATTTAGAGTGAGCATTGATTAGCATATTGCTGAAAATAATTTAACCGATTTAATTTATAAAAACTTTGAAGAAAATTTTAAAATTCAAGAACTTAAAAATAATTGAAGAGTGATAGAGAAATTTAACCCTAAGAGTAGAAAGTTGAGTAATTAAGTTCCCTAAAAAGTTATTGTAGGGCCGAAATTTTTTTACATACCACAATAAGTCAAAAAGTAAATTAAAGCTGATTATACGATGTTGATTAAAGCTGATTATACTACTAAGCATCCATGTGTAGTTCTTAAAGTTCATTCCACTGGAAAAGGCTACTCTACCATTATCCTTTGTTCCTTTCTTAGGCTTCATGACATATTGCTTTCTATATGATGATACTTAGGAAAATTTTGAAATTTTAATGATTTACATGACAAGACTAGAGACATTTTCTATCTTGTATCTATATTTCTACTATTATTATAGCACTCTATTTGAACCTGCCAGTGGTTGGAAATTGAAATATTAACCACTTATAGTGATTCAATATGATGAAAATTTAAAGTCCTTTGTTAAGAAATGAAGTTAAAGAGGAAGCATTGAGATATTAATGGGCCATAGTAAATCAATACTAGTCAAAAGAAATTACCCTTCAAGCAATTACTTTAAATTTGATAGAGAGTGACTTTGAAGCTCTCAAAATTATGGTGGGATCACTGTAATAATTAGTGTTCATCTCTATGATGATATAGATAGAGTAAGGTTGGTTAGATTGTATTATGTATGTATATACATAGATGCTCATCATCATGGGCATTACCATGACCATTGGATGGATATGTCCATAGCAAACAACCACTCAACATTGTTACATCTTAAACCAATTGAAACATATAGAATCCAATGAAACATATCTCTTTGCTCCCCACAATCTCTAACACAAACTTCTGGTTTTAACAGTATGAGAAGGACTAAAGCTCTCTTCCCCACTTACATATGTACCCCCACACTATCTTCTCCAGCAAAATTAGTGATAGTCTACTCAGATTCTGACACTAGACACAACATATATACACATACTTTTAGTCAAATACGTGATACTCTATTTGTTCTATAATGAGTGACTCACTTGTGTTTGTGTCACTGTTTGTGACACATATCTAAATGTAGTGATATTGATCTTGAATAGAAGATGTAGACACTAATAACTTTTAAATATGTACAATTTTAGTCGAATGCGTGATAGGTATTTGTGTCTGTGTCTTCGTCTTATTTTGTGTCAGCTGTTAGTGTTTCATAAATGATTATTTATTTTTAAAATAGAAATGTTGAATATAATTACATCGGTCAATGTTAATGTCGTGTCATATACCGGACTAACCTTTTATGTGAAATGTCTCTGCTCAATACCATATTCAAATTATGTTGGTCCCACACATAAACTCCTCTTCATCATATAAAATCATGGCTAGAGTTCACGTTTATTATTCTAAACTGACCCTCCCACCATACTCTCCATCATTTCAAACTCTTTGGTATCATATTGCATATTCCTAACCATATTTCACCCTTGTAAACACTTTTGCATAACTTCATTCAAATCTCAAAACTTTCAAACATCAAGGACTATTACACCATGTCCCTAGCAGGACTTATTATAGACCAAGAAATGAATCACAACAAGAAATCATTCCACAGAAGAAACGATTCTGGCGAGCTCGACGTGTTCGAAGCCTCAAGATACTTCTCAGGGTACAATGAAGTTATTGGATACACTAATAACTCTACTTGCACACAGAAAGTGATAAGAGAAGAAAGGAATGGATACAGAGGAAGAATAAGCTTAGACATGCCAATGAGAACCTTACTTCCGCAACAATTCAACGGTGTCGATCAGAAACAAATAAAAGACAAGAAACACAACAAACAACCTAGCTCACCGGGCGGTAGACTCGCGAGTTTCTTGAATTCTCTCTTCAACCAATCAACTTCAAAAAAGAAGAAATCAAAATCAAGTTCACAATCCATGAAAGACGAAGACGAGAGTCCTGGTGGAAGACGAATGAGAAGAAGCAGCATTAGCCATTTCAGAAGCTCGAGTACCGCAGATTCAAAATCCATATACTCTTCTTTGAGTTCTGGTTTTAGAACTCCTCCTTATGTAAACACTCCAACTAAGGGATGCAAGGAATTCAAAACGTTATCGGAACAAAATCATGCTGCGAAAACAAACTTCAACGGATTTGTAAAACCATCATCAACCACTTTGCAAAATGAGTTGGGTTGGGATGATAAGAAAAGGAGAAACTCAACTTCGTTGAGGGATAACTACAAACAGTTGGTGGACAAAAAATACTATGAAGAAGAAAAGAGTGATCTTAAGAAATTCAATGATTTTGATGATGGTGCAGAAAGTGATTCAAGTTCTGATCTGTTTGAATTGCAAAACTATGATTTGTGTCACAATTCAAGTGGTTTACCTGTCTATGAAACTACCAACATGGATAATATCAAGAGAGGATCAACAATTTCCAATCTATCTCATTGATTTTTTCGTTATCCTGAGCACGCAACTGCATAGACTAATACCTTAAGTTGAGAAGAATCACAATAAACGATAAAACTCTTCTTAAGAAATTTAACACTGCTGTGTGCACACACGGCTGAATTCGGATCCAGTACAATGTCTCATTGATGACGATATTATAGATGATTAATTTATATTTTTAAATGTGTTCATGTTGAATTGGTGAGTAAATTAGAAACTATGCAAAGGAAAATCTCATAGATTTTACTTGTTTTGTTTTGCTTTGTTTCTCTTTGGATTTCATTTCCAACTTCTTTCAATACTTTGTACAGTTTGGAATGTTTGCTTGTCTTACTCTTATCTACTTTTCTTTGCTTTTAGAGTGCAAAGGGATTAAATAAAATGTTTACCATTAGTGATTTGATTAAATTCGAGTGATTTTAAGATTCAAATGATAAATAAAATGTTTACCATTACTGTTATTGTATATCTGTTAATAATCATTTTGTATCTAATGTTAAAAATATAATTTAAATTTTTCACAAAGTGGTAGTAGATAGGGGGTGTTTAAATATGAACGAATCGAAATAAAAAATTGAAAATCGATCTAAAAAATAAAAAACGGTAAAAAAATTAAAATTTATTGGATGTGTTTGGATGTGATTTTGTGAAAATCGATCGGTTTAGATCGGATTTCGGATTAATTTTTTAAAGTCGATTCAAACCAAACCAAATCGCATATATATATATTTTTATATTTATTTACTTTGTATTAGTATGATATGTTACGTGAATTTATTATTAAATGATAATAATTTTTTTAATAATAGTTATTAATTTGATATAATTTATTTATTTTTATTATTTCAATCATAATCAACCACTCTCATTTTGTAATGTTAACTTTTAATATACTATATGTTATATATTATATCAAATATATGATTTATTAGTAATTTTATAATATTAATAAAAATATAATATGTAATTTGGATATTAAAAAATCGATTCAAATTAAATCGAATAAAATTGAATCAGATTAAATTGAATTTTTTAATATATTATTCAAAATTGAACCGAACCGCAAATAAATTTATTTTTGAATCGAATAATTTTTTGTCTTAAAACCAATCCAAACCGAATTGCGAATACCTCTGATAGAAGATATAACTAAATAGATTCAAGCAAAAAATAACGTATAAATGTTGATCTCAATATTTATTTAAGTACAATTGTAGTGTATAAAATTATTTAACTAGCTATGGACGAATATTCATAGGAGATTGTTTGGATAAAGTGGTCATTTGCAGCTATAATATAAACACTTGTCAAAATAAGGATTTATGAATAAGTTTATATAAATTATTTTAATAGCAAATTAATTGTATAAATTTGATTGGAGTTTCTCTAATGTTAAATTGAGGATCTAAAATTTTATTATAGGACAGACAATTTTAAAATTGTTTTAAATAAAATAGTCAAACATGAAAAAATATATTTTGACGATCAACATGTTTTAATATCACTTATTTTTGTTATTTTTGAATTTCTAACACCAGAAACTCTATTAATCTTTTATAAAGAATTTAAAAATTTATGAATAATATTATTATATCTTATTGGTCTATAATTCTAATTTTAAAATGATTGATTTTGTCATAAAAAAAAGAATAGCGATGTAGCTTCCTATTCACTTGCCTTTCATTTTTATATAAATTTTATTATTTATAAAGAAAAATCTTAATTTTTTTATATATTATGAATTACATTATAAATCATCTTAAAGAATTTTAAAAAATAAATAAAAAATTTAAAAAAATACCATAATTTATTTTAATAAAAACTTCGGTGTTATAAAACTGATGATAATAAATAAATTTAAATAAGTAAATCCAATATATTCGGACTTTACCATTTTTTAGAAGTGGGTCTTGCTTTCAATTTTTTATGAAGTGGAAATAAAAATGTTAACAGTGTTTCAAAGGTATTTTTTAAATGTTTAAAATGATATGTTTTGTTTTAACATACTTATATTTATCGTACTGGAAATGAAAATAATTGAATTTTTTAAAGAATAAAAATATATATTTTCTTGAAAATTCTTGTAATCAATGTATTAAAAATAAAAAGTATTTTTTAAAAAGATTCTTATCTTTATTTAGAATCTTTATTTAAAATTCTATATAGTTTGGTGAAGTGTCCAAGGATAGGCTAAGTTTGTTGGCTAGTTTACTCTTTGTTGCACTATAAAATTTGTGTGACCTTTCCCGGTAGTATATTATATCGAAATTTTTTCTCAAAATGCCACACCCCTGAAACTAAAAGTCCAAAATGCCACGCCCTGAAAAATAATTCTCAAAATGTCACACTCAGGAGGGGTTCACGCCATTTGAGATGGCGCGAAGGTGAGCTGAAAGGGTTCACGCCATTTCAAATGGCGTGAAGGGGTTTTATATTTTTTTTTCTTCGTTTTTCTGAATTTTTAATTATTTATTTTAATAACTTTTATTATTTAATATTTATATTAATTAAGAAAATACTTTTTATTAAATAAACTTTATTATATAATGTTTATATTAATTACAAATACTTTTTATTAAATAAAATGTATTATTTAATGTTTATATTAATTACAAATACTTTTTATTAAATAAATTTTATTATTTTTATGTTTATACCTTTAACAATTAAATATAAAAATAAATAAAATATTTAACAATTACAAAATGATAATAAATTTTTTTTATTAAATAAATAAAATATGCCAATTACAATCAAAATGCAAAATAAAATAAAACTAGTTAGAAGGGCCTGCATTGTTGAGGCGATGCGGACATTTTTTCCGCATATGAGGTTGTTGACAGATACCACATCGTCTTTTTATTTTTTCAACAGTGTCCATTTCAGTTCTAATGCGAGTACTGTTTGGGCGACCTTTTTTGTTTCGTCGCATCCTTTCATCATGCATAAGAGTATCGCCCAAATATGGAGGCCAACTATCTTCTTGGGGAACACCGAGGAAACTTTGTATGTAAACTTTGAAGACGTTTATAACTCTATACAAGTCAGGAATAAACGTAGTATAATCGTGGTTAATGTGAGAACACGCTGCGATAGCATGTGAGCAAGGCAGATGAAAAGTTTGAAATCTCCCACAGTCACAAGTTCTTGTTTGGAGGTTGACGTTGAAATGGGTAAGTGGTCGACAATTCCTATTATTAACCGTCTCTTGAACCACGAAATAATGACTTTCACGGTCAAAAGCCAAGACATTATAACTGTGAGATTTTTCTACTTCTTCTGCAATTCCTTTCATGCAGTTATCTATGAACTCCTTTCCCGATGACAAATTTTTGGTCCAATCCTTTCCTCGCTTACCCCACAATGTTCCCATCCTGTAGTATGTTGATCTTACAAGTGATGTAATAGGTAGGTTTCGGGTTTCCTTCAAAACTGAGTTCAAAGATTCAGCTAGGTTGGTTGTCATGTGACCCCATCGTGCTCCTCCGTCGTAAGCTCGCGACCATTTTTCTCTTGGAAGGTTCTCTATCCAATTAAAAGCCTCTGTGTTTGTTTGGCGGATCTCCTCCCGATAATATGCGTATATAGACTCATTAATTGCATACCCTTCATAAAAGCATTAAAACATTAATATAAAAGAACTATATATTGAAATGCCGTGTTAAAAATTAGAGAGTAATTACCCATGTTAACAACTGTCTTGCGAAGGTTTTTGTCCTTGATGGCTCGCATGAAGTTTTGTGCGATGTGCCTAATGCAATACACATGCACCGAGGGTGGGTTCTGCCAGCCATTATCCGGGTTATTGTAGGCACTCCTAATGGACTCGTGTTGGTCAGATATCAAACATAAGTTTGATTGGGGTGTGACGTGGAGTCTCAAATTTTTCAGAAAGAAACTCCAAGCTCCTCCGGTCTCACCTTCGACCAATGCATATGCGATTGGGAAAATGTTACCATTCCCATCTTGTGCAACATCCAGGAGCAATGTTCCCCTATATTTTCCATACAGCCATGTACCATCTACCTGCACTATAGGTTTACAATGTGCGAAACCCCTAATACAAGGTTGAAATGCCCAAAAAAGGCGATGGAAAATTCTTGCACCACCAATTTGTGTTCCTTCATTTGAATATACAGGAAGTGTTTCAAGATCTATGATGGTACCTGGGAGAAATTGTTGCATGACTAGCAACCACTGCGGAAGATTGTTGTAAGAGGCCTCCCAATTACCATAAATATCTTCGATTGCTTTGTTCTTTGCAATCCATGCCTTTTTGTAAGACACGGTGTAGCCATAAGTCGTACGAATATGAGCAATAATATGTCTAACCTTGATTGCCGCGTCGCTGTCAACAAGAGGTCTGATGCTATGGGCGATCATCTTTGAGGTAAGCTTTTTGTGATCTTGAGATATAGCAGTCGACATGCAAGTGTGTGGCCCTCCAATTCTGCTAATAACCCATTTACCACACCCCTCCCTTAACGAAGCCCTACATGTGAAGTTGCATTCCTCCTTTTTACATTTAATTAAATATCGTGTCGGATCAGACTTACAAACCTTAAATGTATGAGAATTTTTTATGTGATACTCAGATATTGCAAGGAGACATGCTTCTTTGTTTTCAAAAGTCATACCAACCTTTAAGTCATCACATGACTCACGTTCGTGTACGGATTCGAAGACTGAAATTGGTTCCACACATTCAAATGAAACGTTTCTCAAGTGATAGGGTGGGTTATACAGATCAAGTATAGGAGCCGGTTCTGCCTCCAGCCTATCATCGTCACCTGACTCATCACTGGATCCACTAAACAAATTAATTTGTCTAGCATCGTCGGAGTCAGTATCATCACCCACTTCCTCTTCCGGAAATATTGGCTCGTTATGTTGTACTTCGACAGACTCTTCTTGTTGGGAGACTTGACTTAGTTGATATGCATGAGTTTGTGATGATTGTGTTGGAAATACTTCATGCATTTGTTGAAAACAAATATACA